AAGTTCTGCGTAATCAAATTTATATATAAAAACTTTTTAAAAAATAATAATAACCGACTTAGGCACTAAACTTAGGCACAAGACTTAGGCACTAAAAAGTAAAAAATAACTAAACGGGGGTTTTCGTTTAGAATAGATACCTAATCAGATATCTTCGAAATCGGTGTGTTTGATTTGTATCGGTTAGCCAAGAGATCCGCACAATATCAATCTTTTGCGACGTTATATTAAAATAAAAAATATATAAATGATAAACATAATTAAATTATGTTGTTTTTATATACCTCTGTACATAGTACCTAGTTATGGGACATACATACGTAATGGGAGTTAAAGGAATTTAATTTTTTTCTTATAAATTGAAAGAGGTTTAATTAATCTTCTTTTTTTTTAAACGCTTTTCGAAAAATTTACTTCGGTCGATGTAAAAGGGACAAAAGATACAAATAGAGATTCCCGTTACGCCTAGTGCGTCGGTGTCGTAACTCGTAGCGTTAAACCCAAAACATAGACTACCAGGGCACCATGAATAGATAGGATTAAGTAAACTAAGTATACTCAAAGCCAAATTACCATACCAGACACTAAGGCTCCTGTACGTGGCCTTGGGTGACTCGGTTATCGATTATGGTGTTAGTAGTTACGGCAGATCCTACAAATCAAACATGGAAAATATTTACAATTTACAGTTAAGATTATTAAAAACAATTGTACCTAAACGCATACTTAATAATTATAAGAACAACTATATTCAGCTATCTCGGCATTGTAATGTTATGAACATATATGATAAAGTTAAATTTTCTATTCTAACCCAAATTAATAATACAACCTTGTTAAATGAAAAACTTAGACCTATAGGCTTACGTCAACTTGATTTAAACCATAAATACCACTTACCAAAAACTAACAATAAGTATGGAAAGAGAACTGATAACTACTTAATACCTGAATATGTTAACGAACTGCCCAGAGAACTGCAAGAAATGTATAAAAGTACCACGAATATCAAATCACTTTTAAAAAAATATTTTTTACAAAAACAAACCGAATAAACTGAATGACTCTCTGTACCCAGATAAACCCGCGAGGTTTTCGTGGTACTTAAATTGCAAATTATAATGTATTTGTAATGTATTGGCCAATAAATTGAAAAAAAAAAATATGTACGCTTTTTCTCTCGTCGTTTAAAGTTCACTACGATAGCTACACATTGATAACTTTTCAACAAAAATTCGATAAATGGCCCAAATATTCTTGTCTCTTTTCAATACATTGAACACAGGCTACAGTGTGCTTGTTACATTTTACTGGCTGCTGCTAACGCGTGTACCTGCTTTTCTTTTCATGTTTTAATGATCACCTTTAATAGTAGAAAAATCCCAAATAAATGTTTTATTTACCGTTACTCAGAATGACTGCGAGGAATATTATTCCGGAACAAAAGTAAAAGTGTACAAAATTCAATAGTAATTTATATGTACATAGTATACTCTTTTTATGTAAATAACTATATATATATATATATATATATATATATATATATATATATATATATATATATATATATATATATATATATATATATATATATATATATATATATATATATATATATAACTAAAAAGGTCAAGGAATATGTACAACACACAATGTTCCTATGTACAGTGTATATAGGAACATTGTGTGTTATATAATACATATTTTTTCAGTCAGACATTTGAAATTTAATTAAAAAGTTTCTTCAACAAATTACTTTTAAACATACAAGTTGTATATTATAGTTATAGTTTGTGATAGCTTTTTAAAAACCTTTACTTTGATACCCCACTTGATGATATCTTTAGAAGAAAAAAAGTTTTTTAAAGACAATAAATGGCCCCTAAAATCCGGCAATTTGATTACATCAAAACATTATACTAGAAAATTGTAAGTCTTTTTAACCTACAGGAAAGTTTAACATCGTATGTGTCTATCTCTTAAGGTACGCTCACAATAACAATTTTTATTTATAAAAAACGAAGCGAGGGTAAGTTGCCAATACATAATAGTATAATATAATATAAAGTAGAAAACAAAGTCGCTGTCTACGTCTGTCTGTTTCTCTGCTTACTTCTTTAAAACCACGCAACGGATTTTGATACAATTTTCACCAATAGAATGAGCCATAAACGAGGAAGGAATAAATTTTAATTATAACTGATTGCGGCATTTGATATGTTGCCGTTATGCCGGACAGTCGTCTCTGCGAGTCTCTGCCTTAAATTGAAAGTCACGTTTAAATCAAAATATGAGGTACCAGGTAATCAGTACCAAATAGGAGATACACTATGCTATCCTATGGGTGGTCCTATCTTACAGTCTTGCATCTCCCTCTAATGCAGATATACATAAGCTTTTCTCGCTTCAGCATATGAATTTACGTGCATAATGAAAACGTACACTATATCACTGTGAGCTTTTTGGAAATAAAGTGGTCTCGCTCATTCTGACTCTACACTGAAAATTGTGAAAACTGTATCGTTATGTGTAGAAAAAATTAAATGAAATCTAGTTGTAAAGAATTTACTAATATTCCTTTTTACCCTCTTACTACATCTTACCCTTACATCGGCATCTTTCCATATATTTTCTATTGTAAGAAAGAGACAATAAACACACCTATGGCCAAAACCTTGTTCTATCAAAAAGAGGCATGAAGTTATGAACTGTAGGTAATATCTGTATAGTCCCCCTTTAAACCAAAACATCAGCTACCAGGCTACTATTAATGCGTAGGAAATGATTTATGCTTGGCCATTTCTAGTCACACGGCAACGTGTCGGACTAACTTGCAAAGTATTATAATAAAAAAACCTGACTGTGTAAAAAAAGCAGTCATGAGACTGCCAACCACGGTAATGTAATATGTAATATTACCGTGCCGCCAACAGAAGTAAAAACTTAATAATAAACAATCAGTTGTTATTTTTGGAGCTTCAAATTAATTGTTTGATCTTAAATTAAAATTTGTAAATTAAAACTGTTTACATTTATCAGGTTTTGACATTTATCGGCAGTCTGAATGTTAACATGTCACGTGAGCATGTCGATGACGACTTACATGAAAAAACTCCCTATCCAAATTCCAAACCTCTACCACGGTAATGTAATGTTACCGTGCCTCTACCTTATGGATACCAGATAGTTGATACACTAAACATATATAATTTTAAATACATACATGTTATAAATATAAGCAAACACCCATGACTGGAGTACAACCATTCTCGCTCATCACACAAATGAATGCCCCTAGCAGGACCCGAACCCGCGACTGTTGGCACACCAAAGAGGCTCACTGCAAACTGCGCCAAACGTGTCATCATTACATGATCTGCGGTGTGACTTCCACAATCAGGGCGGAGAAACATTTATATGGAAGCTCTTAATATATCGAAAAGTAACCACCAGCCATTTTGTTGAACTCTACCCAGTCACGTTGAATCAAAAACATGGGGTACTAGGCTGTCATAATAATATAGGAGATACTTGATCCTTTCGATATATGAAATGCACTACTGTGCACCATTTATCTCACTTCAACGCAGGTTGCATATATCTACCCTGTAGTTTTCATCCCCTGTAAAATACACCCGTCTCGTTTTAGTTCATTTTGTTACGCCATAGGTACGTAGAGTGCAACGCCAGTTCATACTCTAGTCCAGAGTCTAGAGCGCTTGATGCTATCTTCTTCGTCTACCATATCGAGTACTAGTGCAATATTGTCGTCTCATTTGATTGAAATTTTAATTGCAAAATATACGTTATTTTCACTAGAATAGATGACTTCGTGCCTGAAAGTCGGTGTTTTTTGAAGTTTTAATTTCTCATTTTTGTTATAGACATAATAAGCAGGTAATTTCTAATAAGAAAGTTTTTTTTATTAATAACATTCGATTAAGCAATTTATTTAAAAAATATATTTATTGTTGATTTCTTTGTTATTTCATATTTTCCGTAAATTTAAGAACTAAATATATCAAAATTCTAAATTGTATTCTCATTCTCAATTGTTGTCTCTATATGTATAGAGATAATATTAGCAAAACTTTTCTCAAACAAAAATAAATTTAAATTTATAATAATAATATAAATAAAAACAAAGAAACAAAATATTTTACTTATTATGTATGCACTCTCACTCAAATTTTCAACTTTTACAATGTACATCTAAACGAGTTTTTGTCTGCGACTCCTTCTACGTGAAAAATTTACGCTTTTGACATTGTTATGCAGCAATAAAAAGTATTTATTTAGGACAAGGTCTGTTATGTGTCAAGTTTTATCCAAATCTGTTTAACTGTTTGCACAAGTTTATTTATTTATTTGTATGGATCTCTAACAATTAAAATTCTCTAAATTTGACAACATCAAAACAAAATTTATTGTGTAATCAAAATTTATTTTAAAATATATTCGAAAATAACATTAAAATTTAAGTAATACTATAAAAAATGTTTTAAAAGACAAAAAAATCGAAGGTGCATATTACAAGACTTCCGCAATACCATTCAGACAAAAAGAGACAATAGTATTCCCAAGGAGGTTGACGTCAGGCAGGCGGCCTGTCGTAAAACTTTTGCCAAATCCTATCAGCAGTACAGAAGATGTACTGCGCCGACCTCAAGTGATTGGGCAGGGAAAAGAAGAAGAAGATCTCTAACAATTGTACATATTAATTTACATCTAACACATGCCTTACATCTCATTAAATTACTATGTACTACCAATTATAGAAGAAGGACATCATTCCATAACAATAACAGTGCAATTAGTTTTACAAATTTTCATATTAATAATTGGTATAATACGATATAATAACACATTTTTTATTTAAAAGAAAAATTGTGGGAACGTCTGAAGAAACTTAAGAATGAGTTGCGTAAATATAAATTTAAAAAAGTATACTTTAAAATTTAGGTATTTGATAAAGATAAAGCAATACCTATTTATTTCAGAACCAGAATCCAAGATGACTCTAGAACAGCCAGCAGGAGAGATGTGGAAGAAAATCCGCGAGGAGTTAAATGAGAACCCTGAAACCAGGGATCAGGATCTCGCCCACATCAAAGAATGGTTGAAACAGGAGCCCCATCTACCTGATGAGTTTGGTAAGTGAAGAAAATGCTAAATCATTTTTTATTAATTGTGGATTTTGAAATAAAAACATATATTATAAAGAAACCCTTATTTAAGGCTAGAATGCAACGCACGTATTTTACGCATACCACCTGCCCTTCTCTATTCAATTCAGTTTATGTATTGGATGGAGTCACAATACTAACTTAAAGCCAGTAGAACCTTTATGATGCGTCACATTATCGCATAATATCACGATACTCCTATCATATCTATATTTTTATAGATACTTAATATTAAAATTCATTGAATTTTACATAATTTATTAATGATTTTTATCAAACTATATTGATATGTAAGATAAACCTCGAAATAATAACAATATTTGCCTACAGATGATCAACGCATCATGACCTTTCTCCGTGGCTGCAAGTTCTCCCTCGAGAAGTGCAAGCGTAAACTTGACATGTACTTCACTATGCGGTCCGCTGTACCGGAGTTCTTCAACGACCGAGATATCAACCGCCCCGAGCTACAGGAAATCATTAAAATTGCGTAAGTCTAAAAGTTCACCATAGACCATATTACATTAATTATAGGCCACCCAAAAAGGATCGATGGGGTTTGGTATCAAAATTCTATATTTATATAGTCTCTATGTTTGGGAAGTAGTGGGAAGTTTAAATTAAAGTTATTAAAACGTATTGTTATGTTTAAGTTCAAATTAAAAATCATATTTTAAAAAAATATTTCAGTCAAATGCCACCAATGCCAGGACTCACTCCTGACGGTCGCCGAGTCATCCTTATGAGAGGTATATTTTTAATTAATTGTTTTTAAGTAATTAACTAAAATTTCATAACAAAAAAATATTATATAGTCTTAAAATGTTAATGTTATTGCATAAAATTATTGCGGTATCTGTTCTTATAGAAAAAAATTATAACTTATTTTTTCCGGTAGGTATCGATAAAGATGTCCAAACACCTAATGTGGCGAATGCCTTCAAGTTGGCACTTATGCTTGGTGATGTAAGATTGGCGGAAGAAAAAGAAGGTGTTGCTGGAGACATTTACATATTGGATGCATCTGTGGCCACTCCAACCCACTTCGCCAAGTTCACACCAACATTGGTGAAGAAGTTCTTAGTCTGTGTTCAGGTAATTTAATCTTTCCTAACAATATTATATTTTGATTAACGTAAATTTTGATTAACGTAAAAGTCGTGAGTTCGATTCCTCTCCTCAGAGTTAAACAGTTACGTATCTATATCATACAATAATTTTCAAAAATCTAGTCAGGACACTTTAAAGATTTTTGTCTGTAACTAAATAAAACTATTTCCTGCAGTAAGAGGTCCTATAAATAAATCCTATATGTTAACCCGGTATAACCAGCTTTCATCATACCAAATGTCATCAAAATCTATCCAGCGATTTTCTCGTAGTGCGTTTCCAGATAGACAGACACAAAAAAATTAAAAACTATAGATTCGGTCTCTGTTTCGATAATAATGACTATTTCATTAAGATTTTCCAAAAAATACTGATTGTACAGATTCGACTCAGTTAGAATCTTATTATATGTATAAAATGTATCGTCAATGGTGCAGAAAAAATAACATTATAAAGGCATCATTTCTCTTCTAAACTTTCGTCTACAAACGTTCAAATGTATTAATTTATATTATGAATTTTGTTATGTTATAACTTTACAATGTGTCAATAACAGGAGGCGTATCCAGTAAAGTTGAAACAAGTGCATGTCATAAACATCTCACCCCTGGTCGACAAGATCGTGAACTTTGTTAAGCCGTTCCTGAAGGAGAAGATAAGAGAAAGAGTATGATAGTTTTGTTAATAATCCTAATTTTAGTTTGTAAATAATCGTTGCAATTAAATTAAATAAATAATATTTGTCCCAGTACGTGACATAAAGAAAAGAATACAACAGAAACAAAATTATAATAGTACTAGAAGAACAAAAATAAATGTATCCCACGGGAACCGCACATTTTTTCGGTATAAAAAGTAGCCCATGTTCTATTCCAGGCTATAATCTATCTCAGTGCCAAATTTTATCTAGATCCGTTAAGCTGTTCTGGCGTGATTGAGTAACAAACATCCATCCAAACACCCAAACGTCTAAACTTTCGCATTTATAATAATAACTAATATTAAAATTGAATACAGCAACAATATTACAGAATATAGTAATTTATAATTTAATTTGGCAATATCTGATAACAGTTACTTTTTTCCAGATCTTCATCCACAGTGACGTAAACGACTTATACAAGTACGTTCCTCAGGAGCTTCTCCCCGAGGAATATGGTGGAAAAGCTGGACCCATGAATGATATCCATGGTACGTATAAAACTTGCGCAAACTTTTAATTTCATTATCTGTTAAAGCTATTTTGTATATTATTATAACAAAACTAGCATTGCCCGCGGCTCCGCCCACGTTCAGATCCTTTATTCATATTCGCCTCTAGATAAACAGAAATAAATGTGTCCCATGGAAATTTTACATGGAAATTGGATATTTACCAGTATAAAAAGTAGCCTATATATTATTCTGATGTATGAGATTTATTATTGTAAAGTTTCATTAAAATCCATTCAGTAGCTTTCACATGTAATACATCCAGACATCCATACATCCTCACAAACATTCACATCCTGGACTTTATATTAATATATGACATATTTATCGAGACACTTAGCTTATCAGGGTTCAAATCCTCTCGGATATTTTCATGTTGCGTATCATTTCCAACATGATTATTACTTATCTTACGGTGAAGGAAAACATCATGAAGAAACCTGCATGTCTAAGAGAACCTAATAAGTTTTCGAAAGACATGTGAAGTCTGCCAACCCGCACTTGGCCAGCGTGGTGGACTATGGCCAGATCAGATGTAATAAAGGGAGGCCCGTGCCAAGCAGTGGGACGTTAAAAAAGGGCTTTAAACCATCAAGATTATTATATATACAAGCGTATATACGCTATTTATATTTATTATCTCAATATTTACAGATGCATGGGTCAAGAAGCTAGATGAATACAAGGACTGGTTCGCAGAACAAGAAAAATTCAAAGCGGATGAATCCCTAAGACCAGGGAAACCTACCAACTATGATGAACTCTTTGGTATTGATGGCTCTTTCCGTCAATTAGTCATAGATTAATATAAATAAAAAATATATTTGTTGATTAAGTTGATTTTGTTTCTAGCGAATGCTTAAACCAGCTTGACATTAAATTAAGTAAAAGACAATTAAAGAAATATAACTAATAATCAGATATACTATTTATAGAATTCAATTAATGAATAATTATACCTCATGTAACCTTAGATATTTTTGTTTAAGATTGAACTTTTTAGCAGCTCTCACTATAGTGTCGCCTTCACTCTTTGCATTTAACAAAGTTCTATGATATCAACCAAAGTTGCTCATTATTCTTTAATGTTATTTGTAATTGGTTTTTTTAAATAAAATTATGATTAAATAATATGTTTTTATTTATATACATCCTTTTATTCTTTATTTCTATATTAATCTGGACATATAATAAAAATGTTACTTATCGCTGCCTGTACATGGAAGATATTTGAGAAAATCTACTTTTGAGATTTTTTATTAAAGCTATAAACACCAAAGCAATGATTTTTAGAGTTTTTGTCTGTTTATCGGTATGTCTGTGCGTTTGTGCGCACTAATCTCAGAAACAGCTTAACCAATTTGAGTGCGCCTTCACTTAACATTTAGTGTTTGTTTTATTTCAATCGGTTCATAAATAAAAAGAAGTTATTTAAAAGAATCACCTAGGGAAGCGAGATTGAGTCGCTAGTAATAAAATATATAGGTATACTATTTGCTTCCCAATACAAACTTTCAACCCCATTGTCACCCCCTTAAAGAATGATTTCCGGGATAAAAAGTATCCTATGTCCTTCCCGGGGTCTCAAACTATCTTTTAACCAAATTACATCTTAACCGGTTACGTTACAACGTTACAAACTCACAAAGTCACAACCTTTACATCTTTATAATATTAGTATAGATTATTTACTTGTAGGTTTAATATAGGTAGAGTCTTTCATTAACTTAGGTTTCACCAACATAAACCTTAATAAGCTTAAATGAAAAAAGTATGCTATCTTATTTTTTACTGCATCGGATGCATTAATATATAGTATAGTATAATTGAAAACTTTTATTTACTAATCTGTTAATTATAATCACCTAATTTCCCACATATTTTGGGGGTTAAGTTTGTAAACAATTTTGTATATCGTGCTTATATACATAGACTCTAGCGGTTAGTTCGATAAAATAGTGACCGTGTATCTTCCTGTAGTTTTAGTTGGTTCTATTACCGATTCAGGTAAGTTTTATAAAAAAAATGAAATGCAGTTATTATTTTTTAAATAAAAGAATGTTTCCTTAGAGTAAAACTTTATAATTTCAATATTTAAGGTATTTTTCTTACATGTACCATCCATTTGTTCCATTCTTTATATTAAACCTGCAACCAAAACGTTTAACTAAAAATATAGATTATCACTATATGAAGTTATCTACAAGTATATAATATGATACTTATACATATATTTTGTTTACGTATCAAAGTGTGCCATTGATTTTTGATACACAAACGAATCTTATCCCACAGCAGAACAAAATAAAGTACATTTCGCATTGCGCGACATTTGCAGACTGCATAGCCTATATGAGTAAAAGGGATAGTGCAATCAAAACCTTCTATAGATTTATGAAAGCCTAGTACCTCATGTTTTGGTTTAAACTTGATTCTGGTAGGATTGCTCCATTCACTGATAGTTTGAGGTTTGCTCGTTATTTATAAGTTTCTGGGGTATAATTGCTTTAATTTGCTTTACTCGGTTAAAAATATCTAGAGTTTCTTGTTGATGAAAATGTGTGGAATTTAAGATATATTGATTCATATGCATTATCTATACATATAATAAAATTGTAACTAAACCGAATCTGTACACTAAACATTTTTTGGAAATTTTATTGAAATAGACATTATTATCGATATAGAGGCCGATTCTATTGTTTTTAGAATTTTTGTCTGTCTGTATGTCTATCTGTCTGTTACCGCATCACAGAATAACTACTGGATGGATTTTGATGAAATTTGGTATGGTGATAGCTGATTATTCGGGTCAACATATAGGATACTTTTTACCGCGGGAAAATGTCTCATTTCTGAGAAAAAATACGAAAACTGCAATGTAAGAGTATACTAATATGTAAAACCTAAGAATTTGATTTTTGGTCATCTGAACGCGGGCGGAGCCGCAGGCAATGCTAGTATGTCATATTATGTTTATTAATATAACTTCGATATTTAAAAGAGCAACTGTTGAGTTTCTCGCCGGCTCTTTTCATCAAAACTGCTTTCCGAGTCGGTGGTAGCTTCCTCACGGACTGACTACACTGACGCTCTTTAAATCAAATTAACGATTCAAAAGTGCTTATAATAAAACTATCTTTTCGGAGTGTTTCGGTTTTTTGGTTCCCGACGTCAGTCTCTCCCGTGACCATGATTGCTGTAAAGCATTCGAAACGTCGGGAACCAAAAATCTAAATAAATCCGCGAAATAATCCAAAAAGATATTTTTATTTAAAATGACAAATATTCGCGTAAATCTAAGAATGTGTTATGTAAACATATAATAAAATTGTAACTAAACCGAATCTGTACATTAAATAATTTTTGGAAAATCTTATGAAATAGACATTATTATCGTAACAGAGGCCGAATCTATAGTTTTTAGAATTTTTGTCTGTCTGTCTGTATGTCTGTTCAACGCGGGCGGAGCCACGGGCAATGCTAGTACTTATAATAAGTCTATTTGAATAAAGTTTCATCTATTATGATAGTTCTGAATACAAATGGTCGGATGGGAATTCTGCTGCTGAACCCAAATTGTTTTTTTTCTATCTTATGAATTTTTAGTTTATTACGAACAAACAAAATTTCCTGTTTTTCACATTTGCCGAAGATTATTTTCCTAGCCTACAAAGTATATCCCGCACAGCGTAACTTGCAAAAAACGAGCTCAGGAAAACACCTGAAATAACAAGTGTCGCAGCCACAGACGAATAAGACCATAGTCACCGTCAAGTGGGGGTTGGCGGACTTCACACGTCTTGCAAAAACTAGAGACTGGATATCGATAAGGTATTCATACTAATAATATAAATGTGAAAGTGTGTTTGTTTGTTTGTCTTTCTTTCAAAAACACGTTATAATACAACCCAAATAAATTTATATGATCAGAATTACTTGAAACTTGGTATTAATGCTCTTCAATATATACGTGTATTAAATAAATACGTGTTTCAGCATTTTTCGAAATTCATCCCATAAGGGGGTAAAATAAGGAATTAAATTTTATATGAAACCTACCTTTTTAGTTTTTTTTTGTAGTTTTAGCGCAAGCGATGCCGCGGGTTCTGCTAGTCTTATATAATTAATTATCATTAATGTATAATTTAATTTAGAATCATAATATCAGCGGGAGAAACGTTATTTAAGATTTGGTTTAACCCTCCTATGTAGGTATTTCAAAAATAATTTAAAATGGCCTTAACTATATTTATATTCGAAAAATAGTTATTAATTGTCTATAACAAACAAATTTCATAAGAAAAACGCAAAAAAAATCATTACAACTCAAGTTAGCGCTATATGAAAAAACTAAAAAAAACTAAAATAAGTTTTAAAATATATGAAAATATTAATTAACAGATATTTTCTCTAAAGTAGCTGTCAATGGGTTAGGCGAGTTTTGTGCTGATGGCCTCAATTGTGCTCTATTTAATTGATTTATTGTATTGATGTATTGTATATAATTGCGATATACGAACTTTATGCGATCGAATATGTGATATACCTATGCAATAGTACCTATGGGATGGAATGGTAAGTATAATGTATAGTTCATTTCTGCATTATATGGTATGGTAAATACAAACGCTACTTTTGTATGTAAATCGTAAATACAAGTTAAGACTCGTTTGTTTATATTCAACGGATTGAATCGATTTTGATTTATGCTGTGAAAATACCTTGAAACGGTACATGATTAGTAAAATATTTTTTTAGCTCAACCTTCTCTTAGCTTTTATAAGGAAAAACTGTGTTAGTAAAACAAAAGAATACATAAGTCTTCTAATTTGTATTCCATTTAGGCGCTTCAAGATTTTAGTATAAAAATTGTTTTATGTGGAAACATTTCAATTTGAAATCTGTAAGTTAATATTAAATTTTTTTTTTTTAAAAACAAGTTTTTATATTACACTAGCATTGCCCGCGGCTCCGCCCGCGTTAATATGACCAAAACCAAATTCTTAGGTATTATATATTAGTATACTCGTATTAGTATATTAGTTGACCCGGATAACCAGCTATTACCATACCAAATTTCTTCAAAATCCTTCCAGTGATTTTTCTGTGATGCGGTCACAGACAGACAGACAAAAATTCTTAAAACTATAGGTTCGGCCTCTGTTAGCGATAATAATGTGTATTTCAATAAAATTTTCCAAAAAATATTTAAATATGATATTGCTTCATTAAATTTTAATGTATCTATAGATGTAATTAATTTATAAAGCCAAAAAGTTTTTGATAATTTAAACACGGGCGGGGCCGCGGGTAATTTAGCAGTAATTCTAATATAATCATAGAAAGGTCGAATTTGTACATTCAATTTTTTGGAATTAAAACTACGTATTTTAAAGACACATGGCGACATCTATTGACAAATATCTAAATAATACAAAAATAAATATTCATTAAAATATTTTTTTAATGAATAAAATAGTGCTATTGATATACTTTTTCAAGATTAGCTATTTTTAATAGTTTTTGACATATTTAGTAAGTTAACTTGCTAAAATCTATATAGTATCATCGTTTTTTTATTCTAACCATTTAATTTATTTTTTCTCAGAAATGAGATATTTTTCTGCGGTAAAAAGTATCCTATATGTTGACCCGGATAATCAGCTATGACCATATTAAATTTCATCAAAATCCGTCCAGTAGTTTTTCTGTGTTGCGGTAGCAGACAGACAGACAGGCAGACAAAAATTCAAAAAACTATAGATTCGGCCTCTGTATCGATAATAATGTCTATTTCAAT